ATCTGTACATGTGTAGACAATGCATAAACTTACCTCGTCTTCAACAGCAGCAGCTGGGAGCCTTGTTGGCCCTGGGTGCAGCATTGGCAGCAATTGGGAGGGGGGAGCCAGAGCAGGCCTGTGAGCCTTGTCAGGCGTGGGGGCAGTGTTGGTGACGTGGCAGGGGAAGCGGCAATACTCCTGGCTACAAAGACAGTGAGGGGTGAAGGCAGAAAGGGGGGGGAACTTTGACAGAGGTGGGGAGAGGGAAGGAAGCAAAGGTGGGGAAATGCAAGTTCCTTGCGGGTTCCCACTTGTAATATATAAGTTGGGGTCCTTCAAACAAATAGAATAGAATATAGAAGCCTCAACCTCGTATTTGAGCAACTGTTTCACTCCTCCATTAACTCATTCTTCTGTTTGAGGGAACAAGCGAGGGTCCTGTGAGGAACTGCAAGGAAGATAAACTATTGGAAGCGAGGCGTGACTAGGGTCGCCAGCCTCCAGGTGGGGCCTGGCATTCTCCCAGGATTACGGCTGATCACCAGAAGACAGAGAGCAGTTCCCCTGGAGGAAATGGCAGCTTTGGAGGGTGGACTCGATGGAATCACACCCTCTGCTAAACCCCCTCCCCTCCCTAAATGTGGTCTTCCCCAGGCTGTACCCCCAAATCTCCAGGAATTTCCCAACCCAGAGTTAGCAACCCTAGCCGTGGCGGGGGATCCGTGCATCTTCACAGGATCCCTGCTGCGGGGGACAGTGATACGCATTGCACCGCCGTCGCCAGGATGTGATGCTATGTGTCGCTCTGGCAACGGGACTCCAAACAGCCCCGTTGCCAGAGCGACTCGTAGCGTCACATCCTGGCGACGGCGGTGCAATGCGTATCCCAGTGGCTCACAAAGTAGAATTTTTGCTCACAAGACTTCGCAGCGTAGAGGGAGCATTGGATGTGACACGGGGGAGATTTGTAAATAGAACTTCCAGCCTTTTTAAAAAAGGAAGTCAAGTCACACAAGCAGGGGAATGGGAGGGTTTTCGCTCCTTTGTGGTAAGTCAGGGCTCTTTTTGTAGCAGGAACTCCTTTGCCTATTAGGCGACACACCCCTAATGTAGCCAAGCCTCCAAGAGCTTACAGAGCTCTTCTTACAGGGGCTAGTGCAGTGGTGGCGAACCATCGCCCCAGCCAGGCCCAGACCATCATTTGTTGTTGTTCAGTCGCACAGTCGAGTCCGACTCTTCGCGACCCCATGGACAAGATCTCGCCAGGCCCTCCTGTTTTCCGCCGTCCTCTGAAGTTTGCTCAACTTCATGTTCGTTGCATCTATGACACTGTCTAACCATCTCATCCTTTGCCGTCCCCGTCTTCTTTGACCTTCAATCTTTCCCAGCATCAGGGTCTTCTCCAGGGAGTGCTCCCTTCTCATTTGGTGGCCAAAGTATTTGAGCTTCAGTTTCATTATCTGGCCTTCCAGGGAACAGTCAGGGTTGATTTCTTTTAGGATTGACTGATTTGATCTTCTTGCAGTCCAAGGGACTCTCAAGAGTCTTCTCCAGCACCATAGTTCAAAAGAATCTATTCTTCGGCGCTCGGCCTTCCTTATAGTCCAACTCTCGCAGCCATACATGACTACTGGGAATACCATTGCTTGGACCATGCGGACTTTTGTTGGCAGGGTGATGTCTGTACTTTTTATCATGCTGTTTAGGTTCGCCATCGCTTTCCTCCCAAGTAGCAGGTGTCTTTTAATTTCATGTCGAATTCTCTGCCAAATAATTTTAAGTAAATGAAAGCATTTGGGATTGCTTTCCTTACTTTGTTTGGATAATCTTAAGTTAATGTATGAGTTGTTTTTTCTAAAGTAAAACCTCAGTATTCAGGTTAAATTGCCGTGTTGGCACTTTTGGGTCGCAGTTTGAGCACTCGGTCTCTTAAGGGTTCGCCATCACTGGGCTAGTGTAAGCTCTTGGAGGATTGGCTACATTAGGGGTGTGTCGCCTAATATGCAAAGGAGTTCCTGCTACAAAAAGAGCCCTGGACCTATTAAAACATACACACACTCATTAGACCTGGCTGAGAAAAAATATGGGCCTCTTCTCTCTCCCTGTCTTGTTACCATTCCTTGGATGATAACACTTGGGGGGGAGGGGGTGGCTCAGTTTAAATTTGTTGAAAACACGTGCAGGGGAGGAGGGTAAACTCCCTTCTTTTCCTGGACTGGACCTCGCATGGCCTTGTTTCCTCTTCTACGAAAAGGTTTTCTCTTCCAGCATCCCTTCTAGTTTGCCCTCAGAATACACAGCCGTAGCTGGTGGTCTGCCCAGTTTTCCGTCAGTGTGAATTTGGGACAGTCAAGGTGCAGCGCGTTAAATTTACGACGGAAACGCTGACACAACCAGCACAAATATAGCCGTGCTATTGAACGCTGCTGTAATTATGCCACGTTATATTAGAACATATGGTATAATTTAGCATGACATAAATGCATCTTTCTTTGTCAATGCATTGCTCATCATTTTTGCAAATTGCAAATCTGTAATAGTAAAGGTAATTCATAGCTTGGCTGTAGTATTAAAATGATGGAGCATTTCCCTTTTCCCCCCCTCAATCATTGATCTTTCAAATTTCTTCTATTTGATAGCATTAATCACTTTTATTAGCCAAGTGCTTATCATAAAGAATGTTGAGTGTTTCTGTGCTGTTGCGTTCATCTTCAATTAAGATACATTTTTTCCTCCTGCCACTGTCCCTTACATGTCAACCGAGTATTACCGATTCTAATTGGAAATCAAGTTAATGAATTCCTGGCAATGTCAATAATCCAGATAGGCTCCCCCAAGCCCCCTTACCAATGCAAACTCTAATCGAATAATTTTATTAAAGGGGTAGCAGGTATAGCAAAGAACCACTTTGATTGTGCCACTTTGATTATTTTAGACTATACTTAATCATTATGGTAAGGGACTTAACATACAGACAAGGTTAGGGTTGCCAGCCGGGTAAGATCAGGGGGCAGCGTGAGGCAGTGGCCAACAATGTGATGTCACTTCCAGGAAAACCGGGAAAGCTACAGTAAAATCAGAGTTTTCTGTAATTCCTAGAGAGGACTGACATCTCTTCTGGGTTTTACCACAATGTTTCAGCCAATTCCTAGAGAGGCATGACATTACTTCTGGGTTTTCCTGGAAGTGACATCATACTGATGACCATTTTTTAATTTTTTTTTCCTACCATTGCTGTGGTGACCCTGAACAAGATTAGTTGTCGAGTTCATATTACAAGGTGTTGTCTAGTTCATTGCCTCCCTCCCTCATTAGTTAGTTAAGTTGCTTGTTTGTTTGTTTGCTTGTTTGTTTGTTGCACATTGCAACAAGAAAAGAGAACCTGGGAAGGTTGGGCTGATGAGGAATGCTTGTAATATAAAGGGGTGGGTCCCGTTGACACTGACAGTGAAATCCTAAATAGAATATTGAAATCAGTGGGCATAGCAGGGTGTAACTTTGCTTAGGACTGCACTGTCAGTGAGCCTGCCTAGATTTAAAATAGAGGCCTTGTCATAGGAAATGAACTTCGCTTGGTACAGGTACCTGCAAAATGTCACAGGGGCATGCTTGCAACAACTTTATTCTCAAACCATGGCTTACTTCCCACTCAGTTTAGATTCTTCTCCCTGTATTTTAGACTATGCTCCTTCATTCTGCAATAGTCTGTCCTGCACTATTGTAAAAGCCAGGAGGGAAGGTGCCATGTTAAAAGTTACTCCAGGAGAAAAACATCATCCCGCCGTCTGTCGTTATCATCCATTCAAAACGAATCTTACCAGCATGTGAAATGACCACCTTTGCACTAGGTAGCGCTTTACTGTTCACGCGTGTGGGTTTACAGGCATGCGTGTTGAAGTAAAGAAGTAAATGTTTCTCGACTCTCAGCTTTAACTTCTAGAGATCTTGGAGAAGGTGCTGAAACCCTGGTGAATGGTAATTTTAGCATCAAGCACTAACAACATTTGAACAAGAAATTTCTCGAATGCAAAAACTTGACAGGGCAGTGATTTGGCCAGGAGCTGGTTCCTGCGAACAGGGACTGTCCTTGGTCAAGTCAAGGTGGTGGTGGAACTACATAGATCAAGGTGTACATCTGGGTATCTGGACAGTGTCTTGGCTGCATTTTATTTGTCTAGTACATTTTTTATGCTGCCCTTCCTTGGAAAAGCTCAGAGGGACATACAGAGGGCCTTTCCTCCCCGTTTTATCCGCACAACAGCCTGCTAGGTAGTTTAGACTAAAAGGGCGTGACTGGCTCAAGGTCACCCAGAGAGCCTCATGGCGGTGTGGGGATCTGAACCAAAGTCTTCTAAGTCAACAGGCTAATCATTACACCACACCGGCTGTCTTTGCAAAAACCAAGCCTCTCTCTGTGCCAAGGTAATACACATTGTGCCAAGAAAAGCTGCATTCTCTGACCTTCATAAATTATACCCCTGGGTACGCAATTGTTCCATCATATGAAAAGGCAACAACCTGCCCACGGCAATGACAGTGTTCTTCCTGACTACTGGACACAGACTCGCTCTGAAGTTTCCTGAGACACGGATTGCATAATTTTAAGCTCATTTTTTGCATGATCATGAACTAGGAGCTTGTTTTGTTTTTCTTTTTTAAAAAACGAGGTTCCCGGGAGCTGTGCACTCAATGCTCGTTTTTGTGCACGTGTGATGAAATGACACACATACATGCTTTTCCTATTGAGAATCTGCTGAGTAGGTTTTTTTTATCACAGCAGGATCCTGATTGGGCAGAAGCCTTGCAGTCTAGTCTTGAGGATTTTGTGCGATGGTCAAGTCAGCCCTAGTGGGCGATGGCTTAGCTGGAATTTGCGTTGCTGGTCCTCCTCTTCTTAACCTCCAGCCCATCAGGATAGGGGAAGGCTTCTCATCATCCTGTGCGAATAAGGAAAAATAATTGGCTGCCTCTCGTCTCCCGAGAATCTTTGAAAACCTGTTGTTCACGCTGTTTTTCAGGTGGAAGCGAATCCTCATGGGATAAAGAGAAACTCCAGTCTCCCATCACCACGGGATCCCATCACGGAGTTAGCCATGCATCGCTGTCCGGGCAGCCCAGTCTGGGAAGCGCTCATCCCCTCAGCCCTCTGCAGCAGAACCATCTGCTCACTAACAGTACGTACACGGGCCTTTAAAACCAGAACCCCGAGTTGCTCTTCTGCATATTCTGGTGGAGGGTGGAAAGCTGAGGCCAAGGTCTAGTGTGGTTCTCCCAGAAAAACTGGAAGAGAGGTACCTAACAGCTTTGTTCCTTATATTTACACTGAGGGACAAACCATTTTCCCCCAAGCTTTATTTATACGGTGGTGGTGGAAAGTACCGTTAAGTTGCAGCTGACTTATGGTGACCCTGTAGGGTTTGGGGCAAGAGACATTCAGAGGTGGCGTGGCCTGCCATTGCCCACCTCTGGTCAACCCTGCTTAGGTTCCCAGATCTGACGAGATCGAGTTAGCCTGGGCCATCCAGGAGATAGATAGATAGATGGATGGATGGATGGATGGATGGATGGATGGATGGATGGATGGATGGATGGATGGATGGATGGATGGATGGATGGATGGATGGATGGATGGATGGATGGATGGATGGATGGATGGATGGATGGATGGATGGATGGATGGATGGATGGATGGATGGATGGATGGATGGATGGATGGATGGATGGATGGATGGATGGATGGATGGATGGATGGATGGATGGATGGATGGATGGATGGATGGATGGATGGATGGATGGATGGATGGATGGATGGATGGATGGATGGATGGATGGATGGATGGATGGATGGATGGATGGATGGATGGATGGATGGATGGATGGATGGATGGATGGATGGATGGATGGATGGATGGATGGATGGATGGATGGATGGATGGATGGATGGATGGATGGATGGATGGATGGATGGATGGATGGATGGATGGATGGATGGATGGATGGATGGATGGATGGATGGATGGATGGATGGATGGATGGATGGATGGATGGATGGATGGATGGATGGATGGATGGATGGATGGATGGATGGATGGATGGATGGATGGATGGATGGATGGATGGATGGATGGATGGATGGATGGATGGATGGATGGATGGATGGATGGATGGATGGATGGATGGATGGATAGATGGATGGATAGATGGATGGATAGATGGATAGATGGATAGATGGATAGATGGAGGCTACGGTCACACACACTAAATAATCCACTTCCAATCCACTTTCAGTGCACTTTCCAACTGGATTTTACTGTGTGAACTGGCAAAATCCAGTTGGAAAGTGCATTGAGCCCACTTGCGGGGACGGCGGGGTAAAAAGGTCTAAATAAATAAATAAAACAAATTGAAAGTGGATTATTTTGTTTGTGTCACCGCAGATGGATGGACAGACAGACAGACACAGATATACACAGAGAGAGAGACCCAGAGAGACAGACAGAAATTAAGACGGTTTCATGAGTATAAAATCCCCACTCTGCCACAAAGCACATTGGGTGACCTTGGCCCAATCCCTCCATCTTTCTCTCTCACTGTGTCTGTGCAGTGACTTCTTTGACCTTTAGCTAGTAAACGTGGCCATTCGTCTGTGGCTGTAGGGCGCACTGTAGGCCTCTGTTCATACAGGCCTCTGTTCAGACCTGTGTGTTGTGGTGATTAGTGTTTCAGACTAGAATTGAGGCAGTCTGGGTTCAAGCCCCAGTCCACTGTAAAGCTCCTTGGGTGACCTTGGGCCAGTCTACAGTCTTAACTTACCACACAGGATTATTATGAAGATAAGATGGGGCAGGGAGAACCGTGTACTGCCAGGCTCCTAGGCGTGGTCGCCCCCCCCCCCCCAGACACCCTCGCCCATCCCACACATCTTATTTGGCTCCTTGGTTTTGCCACAGGGTAAGAGGCGACAAAGCAAGTTGGAGGAACCTCATGAGGAACACAGGCTGGGGCCTGTTTTCCTGACACTTTTTTTTTGCGGCAGGGATGACAGCAGACTGTGAGAACGTCTCCTCTACCCGCGCCCAACTTCGCTTGGTGCGTCAGCTCCGGCCTTTCTTTGACAAGCGTGATTTGCCACCGTTATCTTTGCTCTGATCAGATCCAGATTGGATTGTTCCTTTCGTGTATTTATATCCTGCACTCTTCAACCAAAAGATCCACGCGGCAGCTAACAACCTGCTCAGTGATCTAATACCTAAAATGGAATCATCAACATTATAACATCAGACATAAGCAATAGGGCTGCCAAGTGGGGGCGGGTAAACCCCCGCTTTGGAGGCCCGATTTCCGCCACCGCGGAATCGGGCCCCGGGGGAACCCCACCCCCACGTGCGCGTTACCAGGAAGTGATGTGGGCACGCTGGGCACGCTGGGGGCGGTGCCACGGCCATACAAGGGAAAACTCTATGGTTTTCCCTTGTATGGCTGTGGCCCCGCCCCCAGCGTGCCTGGCGTCCTCCTGTCACTTCCGGGTGACGTGCGTGCGGCGCGCGCGCACACACAAGACGCCGGCCGGGAGCCCCCCGCTCCTGGACGAAGATACACTTGGCAACCCTAATAAGCAAGCATCACAGCATTGGAGCAGTACTGCTGTGCAGATAGGTTATTATTGGCCTCAGATAGGCTTATTGCCCTTAAAAGCAACCAACATATAAAATCACTTTTAAAAAACGCATCAAAACAAGAAAGCAGGGATAATGAAAACAGACAGCATGGGGCTAAGTAAATGGTGGGGCTTTGCCTTTGGAACACCAGTATCTAAGGTGGCTAGGCCAAGCCTGGCAACCAGCGGGAGAGTTGGGCGGTAGGGACATGGGGTTGGGATGTCAGGGACCTGGAAGTGACAGTGGTAAAACCATAGAGTTCACATCGATTCCTACAGCTACCCATCGTCACTTCCGGGTTTTACCAAGAAAATGATGTGCCAGCACAGAGGCCAGCGGCAATCCCCCCCACACACACACACACACCAAGTCTGCTCAGAGTGGCGGTGGGTCATGGAGATAAATGGTGGGAGGTCTCCCTCCGTAGCAGGAGGCCTGGAAACTCTGCCAGTATCTGCTGTCCTGGGTCCATCAAACCCTGAAGGTTTCGGGTTCTGGCATGCTCCAGCTTCAGGCATGATGAACAAAATGGGTCCCGCTCAGGGGGGGAAAGCACGATGCCGCGTGACCTCAATAGTTCAGAAACGTTGGTGAGAGCTGTGTTCTGGAACCCGGCATTCTTTTGCTGACGTGGCTGTGTCACAGCCAAAATAAAGCTGAGGGATGAGGCTGAGATGCACCGATTGTGTTGTCCCCTGGAAAAACAATGGGGAAAACTGAAGGGGGGGGGATTCCTTCACTTCTGTCTAGAATCCCAGTTTGGGAACCTCTGGGGAATTTGGTGATAGTGTCTGGGGAGGGCAGAGTTTGGGGAGGGGAAGGAGCTCAGCTGGGGTGTGAATAGAAGCCCATCCTCCAAAGCTGCCATTTTCTCCAAGGCAATTGATTTTTGTAGTCCAGTTGTAAGGCTGGGAAAACTCCAGCCAGCCAGCCACCACCATGAGATTAACAATCCTCCCATTATTCTGCCTTGAAGAGAGAGGTACTACTGCCTCTTGGGAGGTATTTATTTATTTATTAGATTTATACCACGCCCACCACGCCTGGGCAGGCTATAAAGGCCTCAGAGCAGGGCATCTTTGGATAGCTTAGGTTCAGTCCTCCTCCTCCTCCTCCTCCTCCTTCTTGAGAACCAGTTTGGTGCAGTGGTTAAGAGTGCGGACTCTAATCTGGGAGAACCAGGTTCGATTCCTCACTCCTCCACATGCAGCTGCTGGTGTGACCTTGGGTCAGTCGTAAGTTCTTTCAGAGCTGTTCTCTCAAGGGCAGTTCTCGAGAGAGAGCTCTCTCAGCCCCACCTGCTTCATGGGGTGTCTGTTGTGGGGAGGGGAAGGGAAAGGGATTGTAAGACTCCTTTGGGTAGTGAAGGGTGGGGTATAGATCCAATCTCCTCCTCCTCCTCCTCCTCCTCAGTGTTATTCTATCTTTACCCTTTCCTTTCTCCATTTTTCCTCTGTTGGCTTCATGTGTTTTGAAACATGGAAGGAAAAGAAGAGTTGGTTTTTATACCCTGCTTTTCTCTACCTAAGAGGCTTACAATCTCCTTCCTTTCCTCTCCCCACAACAGGCACCTTGTGAAGTAGGGTGGGGGCTGAGAGAGTTCCGAGAGAACCATGACTGGCCCAAAGTCACCCAGCACACTTCATGTGGAGGAGGAGTGGGGAAGATTAGAGTCCGCTGCTCTTAACCACCACACCACACTGGCTCTCAGAGTAATTTAAAGGACATTACTAGATGGGCAAGAGGGACTAGGAGCAGCCGACAGCTACAAGGATGAAGCTAATTGTATTGATATTTCCCTTTACAATTTCTCCATTGTCCATGTATCTTCTGTCATTTGTGTACTGTGTGCATTCCTGGTGGTTTATTGCTGTCTCCATGTTATGCCTAAATAAACCACTGTGGTTTGGAATCATGGATTTTCTTACTAGTGCAATGTTACCTAACGTGGGGTGTAAAAGAGCTTTAGATTTTCAGCTGAGCTAAGTTTAGGCATCACTTGAAAATCTTTTTGTTCACTTGGCCAAAACAAACACTTGAGTGGAAGTGGAAAATTTTGTTTGTATTTTTCCTGATTTAGTATATTGAGAGCCAGTGTTGTGCAGTGGTCACAGCGTTGGACTAGGATCGGGGGGGGGGGGGCTGTTCGAATTGCCACTCTTGTCGTGGAAGCTTGCGGGTAACCTTGGTCTAGACACATTCTCTTTGCCTAACCTACCTTGCAGAGTTGTTGTGAGGATAAAATGGAAGGCAGGGGAATGATGTAAGCTGCTTTGGATCCCCACTGGAGAGAAAAATGGGGTATAAATGAGGTGTATATATACCGACAGGTTTCTTTACCAGCTGTTAACTTTTATTTATTGATGATGTTTTAATTGATTTTCTCATTTAAGTTGTTTTTATTAGCGCTTCTCTTTTAACCACCAGTTGTTTGTGAGTAAGCTGCCACTAAGCCTTTGACCTAACAGTTTATGTGGGATATCTTTTTAAAAAATCAATTAAATGGGGCTCCTACTTGAAGGTGTCCCTAAAGCTGCTCATTTGATCCTGACTTCCTTTTCATTGGTAGGGAGGGAAAGTGTTTCATGGCCAGTTTTTTTTCCAAATATTCAAATTGTTGCTTATCAGACTGTAGAAAAATTAAAACAAAACCTGAATTTCTCCCCATGGAAGTTTCAAGGTTTGCAGGAGCAGAAGAAAACCGCTGAAGATGGTAAGATGGAATCTTGTAAAACGGTTCACTAATTAAGAGCTGCGGCCCAGGCTAGCCCAATCGTGTCATATCTCGGAAGCTAAGCAGGGTCTGCCCTGGTTAGTACTTGGATGGGAGACCACTAAGGAAGTGTGCAGAGGCAGGTGGTGGGAAACCACCTCTGAATGTCTCTTCCCTTGAAAACCCCATAATGGGTTGCCATGAGTTGGCTGCAACTCAATGGTACCTTATGTAGATTTTAATCAGGAGTGCAATTCTGTACGTGTTCACTAACGTTTTATGTCCTGTTAAGCTGGCTGCGTAACAACATAAAGTTCCTTTTTTAAAAAAAAAGAGAGAGAGAGAGAAAGAGAGAGAAATATTTGGTATTCTCTCCAAATCTAGATGAACAAAAAGCTTTCAAGGTCTTTGTAGTGTTGAAGAACCTTGACCCCTTTTTAAAAAAGTGGAATTCCGTTTTTTGTTAATCACTGGGATATTTTGCTGTTGACCTCAATAGTATGTGACAGATGCCCATAACAACTCGGAGAAATGTTAGCCCCACAGAATTGGAAGGGGGAGTCACTTTTTTAGATTAACCAGGGTTTTTTTTTTCCCGTGCTGGAAAACAAAATTTCCAGTTATAGGTGGTAAGCTGGTGGATGGGGGAGGCAAGCTTGATGATTCACCATCATTGCAACATCCCATCTTCTTTTTCTGTCTCACTGGTACAAAAGAGGATATTGTCCAGGCAAGACAGGGAAGAGAATGTAGATGAATTGCCTGTTAGAGTGACAAGCCATGGGGGACAAGAAAACAGTTGTGAAAGGGAGACAGCAAATGAATGAGGGAGGAATCAGATCTGCATCGTAATGTTTTAATTTGCGTTTTCCTCACATTTGGGTGAATTATTTGGAATAATTTAATTTCTTTGCCTTAACCCTCATTCTCATCTCCAGTACTGCTGTTTCCAACGGGCATTCAGAATCATCTCTGTGGTATCATCATCTCTGGTCCTGTACATAGTTAGAAATCTTTCGCCTTTTCACTGACACAGCAGCCAGCTTGAAGGACTTAAGAACACTGTGGATTCTTTGGCAGTGCAATCCTAAGTAGAGTTACACCCTTCTAAGTCCAGTGAAGTCAGTAGTCTTAGAAGGGTATAACTCGGTTTAGGACTGCACTTCAAGTTTACGTTCTGTATCATGGGAATGCTCAGAGTTATATCACTAAATCATCTGGAGAGGTCCACATACCGAATTCCCCCCTTCTCACAGGATATTTTTTTCCCCTCATTTTGCCGTTATTGTTGATTCCTCGGCCGTGTTCCATGAGGCTATTCAAGGGTTTATTGAATATCGGGCATTATGTCTGATTTGCGAGCATGAGATGCGTCTCTTTCACACCCCTTTTGCAAAGACTTGATGTATTGTGCCTTAAACCCGGTGATGTGCAGTTAAATTCCGTTTGTAGTTTGCATTTCGTTTGCATGTCAATTGGACTTTAAGCAGGCACGCAACTCCGTTGTGGACAGATGGTGTCTGGGAGTTTGAAACTATCGTGAGGGAACAAAGACTTATGTTTGCATGAGCTTGGCGGGTGGGGGTGGAGGTGCCGGTACGGTTTAAAGACAAGAGAGATGCCACAGGCACTGTTTCGTAACTCTTTTTCTTTGTTGGTTTATTATTTATTTAACTATACCCCTATGGTTGCCAGCCCCCCCCCCCGGCAACGGGCGGGGGATGGGGAGTTGCCAGATCTAGATTGGGAAACTCCTGGAGATTTAGGGATGGAACCTGGGAAGGACAGGGACCTCAGTGGCAGTGTTCCCTCTAAGCTGGGTTACTGTAAGCTAGCTCACAGTTTTTTAGCCTCCAGCTCACACATTTTGTCTTAGCTGCATACTAATTCATGCAATAGCCAAAATTGTTCACTCAGAACTCCAGTAGCTCACAAAGTCGAATTTTTGCTCTCAAGACTCCACAGCTCAGAGGGAGCATTGCTCAGTGGTGTACAGTACCATAGAGTTCACCCTCCAAAGCATCCATTTTCTTCAGGGGAACTGATCTCTGTAGTATTGAGATGAGGTGTAATTCCGGGGGATCCCCAGGTCCCACCTGTAGGCTAGTATCCCTATATACCCCTCCCTATTTCCCAAGAGAGGAGCTGCGGTGGCTCAAGTGGTTAAGACGCTGAACTGCAGGCTGTGGAAGGTGAGTAGTTCAGCCGTTTGAGACCCGGGTGCCGCATGATGGAGTGAGCTCCCGTCTCTAGTTCCAGCTCCTGCCAGCCTAGCAGTTCAAAAGCAAGAAATTGCAAGTAGATAAATAGGTACCACTTCGGTGGGAAGCTAACAGCGTTCCGTGCGCCTTGGTGTTTAGTCATGCCGGCCACATGACCACGGAAACGTCTTCGGACAGCGCTGGCTCTTTGGCTTTGAAACGGAGATGAGCACCCGCAACCCTAGAGTCGGATTCGACTGGCTTTCGAGCAAGGGAACCTTTACCTTTAACTATTTCCCAAGAGCTTGGGGCAGATAACATTGAAACAGGTTAAAAAAACAAGTCCCTAAATAATTTTTAAATCAAGTTATCCATTATAGAAGTAAAATACACCCTCACTTTTTCTCAGCCTCTAAATTTTCTCAGTTTCCCCAAAAAAATTTGCATTACACTGCAGAGGAATGAAAGGAAGCTGTCGGTTTCCTTGATGGGGAACTTCACAGAGAAAGTCCTGCATTGATCCACCAGCACCTTCACTGGCCTCCCCGTTGTCCATCAAACCAGGATCTGAAAGCATGGTTTGAAGTTGAGTAGAGAGAGGCTTGATACCAGCGAGAGCTGGATGAGGGAAAGTTTTGTTCAAGCCACTCTTGCCAGGCAACTCTGTAGGCAGGGTGAGCCACCAGCATGAAACAAACAAGGAATAAGCCTGGGTACCATTGTTGAATGTAACAATGTTGAATGTAATACAAAGTCATTGTTGACTAACTGTGGTTAATAAACATGATTTTGGATCCTGGTTTGAGGTACCCTAACTAACCACAGGAGGGTAGTGGTGGCCCAAGTTTGGGGTTAGTTATGTTTAGTTGAATTAAAACATGGTTCAACGCTGCATCTGAGCAGCCTGAAAACTGTGGTTTTGCATGGTACATGAACATAGACATCATGGCTTTGTTCCCTGGTGCTATCCACAGCTACATTGATGCCTAGCTGGAGCAAAGGTTATGGAAACCATCACTTGTCAAGGCAAAGAATCATTGAGTGGTTCCATGTGTGCACCACGTCCTGGTTTCATGAATAGACCCATATGAGTGAGCCATAATTAAAAACAAAGTTGGTTTTGCATGATGTCTAAATCGAGCCGTAGTCACCGTTCAGGGTACCAGTTTTAACCTTTAAAGCCCATAAATGTTTTGAACGGGACATTTCTTACTGCCCAAGTACAATGTGCGTCATCTTCCAGTGTCTTTATTTCAAAGCATGATGTGCCGCCTGTTTGACCGGCAAAAGGATGCTGGGGAGGGAGATTTAACCCTCCCTCTGCTCTTTTCCTGATCAAAATCACACCCTCCAAGAGTTGCCAATACCTTTGCAGAGGGTGGGATAAGGCACCATACAGATAACTCCCTCTCCCCCAATTGGGGCTATTAGCAACTGTTTGTGTGTGTTTTGGGGGGGGTGATGGCAGGAGGTTCACTACAGAAGATAGAAAAGGGTTAAACTCTGTCCCTCAGCAATGTTGTCCCAAGTGATTGTTGTAAGCATCCTTGGGAACAGGATATTAATATTCTAAATAAATAACAACTAATATTTTAAATAATGAGTAATTATGCTTGTAACGATTCCTTGTTTTTTGTGTGTGCGTGTCTCTTTAAAAGTTTGGTTGCATGGCGGTGGTAAGTAGACTAGAGTGGTTGAGATAAGCAAGCGTGGTATGATTGGTGGTTGACAGAGGGGGAGGGGTTTTGGAAGTGAAAATGAGTGGATGAGTATGTATGTCAGTCTGGAGTGACAGTTACAGTTTGGACAGTTGATAAGTTCAGTTAGTTCTGTGTGTGAGGGAAGTGAGAAGCAGTCCTGTGTGGAATAAGTTAGTTCAGTGAGAAACAGAAGGAAGGCTGAGAGAATAGGAAAAAATAAATGAAAGTTTAATTGAAGACAAGTTATAGGAAAGGCTGTATGTCCTGAAGAGAAACAGTGAACATATATGATCTTGAGTTAAAGTGTTACAAAGTTACCTGAAAGATCCCTGTCAGTAAGGGAGCAGATTGTGTGTGATACACCAAGCAATTGTTCATTATTTACACATTACTAGATACATTGTTCTACCCTTTTATTTATGAATTATTTCAATAAATCCTCTTTTATTCAAGTATACCAGCTCTGAAAGAAATACTTCCTCAGGACCATATAGTTCCTCGTAAGCCTTGAACTCGGTCTACCTAACCAGTAAGAGCAGAAGTAAAAGTATAAAGGTTTGGAAATCCTTAAAATTTCCTGGTGGCAGCCGTATATACCCAGTAGAACAAAATAAAAGAAACACTTTTAAAGTGAAACTAGTCCTCTCCAATAAGGAGGAGGTCACAATGCTCTTAGGTTATTAATCCAATTAAGTGATCACTGTCTTGAACGTATGGTGTTGGAGTAAGGCTCAAAGTGATGGCCATGTTCATTTTGTTCCCCCCCCCCCTTCCAGGGATAGATCTACCCTTCATGATGATGCCCCACCCCCTTCTCCCGGTCGGCCTACCTCCTGCTTCCGTCGCAATGGCTATGAATCAAATGAACCATCTCAACACTATCGCTAACATGGCAGCCGCAGCTCAGATGCACAGCCCCCTTTCGAGAGCTGGAGCCTCGGTCATAAAGGTAAGGCTCGGAGCCTAGCTACCCAGTCGCGCCGAACTGTACGTGTTCAGAGAACACCCAGGTTTAGCGGTTATAGTATGTTTTATATGGCACTGTCGCTAAAGAGCAATTTCGAAACTTCAGCTGGTTGAGAGTGAAGAAGTCAGTAACCTGGGGGCCTTCAAGGTGAATGTATTTCAGTGAGTCAAAGGTCTCCAAAGGCTGATTCTGCTTTGCTGGGCTGAGTGTTCTCAGGGGCTAGGAAAAGAGAAAGGAAGAGTTCCCATCTTGGATCAGAGGGGAACTACACCTGCCTCCAGTCAATACAGGCCAGTTCTTTTGAAATACTTGGGAAATGATGTAACAAAGGTTTGTATCCCAAGCTTTGCTTCTGCGTGTGCTGAACTGTTTTCCATGTAGAAAG